GGAGGGGAAGGGGAGGTGGAGGGAGGAGAATGGAGGAGAAGGACTCTGCACCTGAGTGGTTGGGGCCCCTGGAGGGGCTGAGCTTAACCTGACACCTACCTCCTCGGGTAGAGCTCAGGTGGGGGCAGCAGAGAGCCAGGCTGTGGGGGCAGCAGAGAGCCAGGCTGTGGGGCCAAGGAAGAGATGGGAGGGGCCGAATTACACGCCCTAGACATCCCAGGGATCCAGAAAAATAAGACTCAGAAAATTTTAGAGTGGAAAGCGAGCCTAGAGGCCAAGCCAAGCGCCCCCCCTTCCATTTCCCAGATAAGGAAACTGAGAGGTGAAAGAGATTTGCCCAAAGTTACGCAAGTAGCTGGTGATCAAGCAGTGACTAGAACCCAGGTCTCTTAATTCATGTATCTTTTCCACTACAGTGTGTGACTGTAGTAACTGACTACACCATGCTGTCTCCCACAGAAGAATTCAGAGCATCACCTCGCCCTAAAATAAACACAGAAAATCAAGAAGCATAAAGAGGAAAGAGTCCTTCTCTCCCCTTCCCTTCTTCCTCTTCCCCTCTCTCCCTTCTTCTGTTCTCTTCCGTCTTCATTCTCTTCTTTACACAGATTGAGATTCAGGGTGGATTTTATGAGGTAAGAAATCAGGATCATAGAATTAGATCTGGAACAGACCTGGAACAGGTCATTGAATGGAACCCTCTCATTTTACAAGTGAAGAGACTGAGGCACAATGAAGGGAGTGGCCTGCTCATATTCACACAGGTAGTAAATGGTAGAACTCATTTTCAAATCCATTGCTCTTTCCAGTAGAGTTGCTATTGTTGTGAATGGGGAGGAAACCAGGCAGCTAGACCAGCCATTAAGGTATGTGTGTACATACATCCAGCGGCACCAAGCTAGAGGGCAGGGTATCTAAGTTTCAGAACTGGGGCTATTATGTGGTGAAGTCAGGTACCCTTTACCTCATCACCAGTACCATTGTTTCCCCTGTGTCTGCAAGATAAGAAGATAAGATCCCAAAAGACAGGAATTCTTTTTTCTTTAGGTCTTTCTTCTGTTTCCAGGGCCCAAGAAATACTAGAGAAAGCTAACTGAGGCTTAACCAGAGAAGATGTGGAAGGCAGATGGTGGAAGGGGTCTACACCAGGGAAAAGAGACAGGGGCAGCAATCGCTTCGGGAAAGAAGGGGTGGAGCTGCCCTCTAAGGCCCAGTTTGCTTATGCTTACACTTCCTTGAGGATTCATCCCCATACATCAAAGACAGGACTGAGTCAATGACATGGGCAGAAGGCCAAAAGTCCTAAGCTTCTTACTTTCTCTGCTGCTGTTCTCTCATGTCCCAGTTCTGACCAGAGAAAATCGGAAACGTTTCTTACACCTGTCTCCCTAAGCTGATTATTGGGAGTGAGTCAACTGGGCAGGCTGGAGCAGAACAGACACCTGCCAGTGAGGGTGGCAAAGGGCTTGGCTCCCCCAGGCTGGGCTAAACTGGGTTAGGTTGGGCTGGGCCTAGGCGGAGGAGGGCAAGAGGTTTGATTCCTCAGGGTAAGAATTCTAGAAGCCATTAACTACTGGGTGAGGCTCAATTTCATAAAAGTAACTACAGAGTATGGATTGAGGAAGGGGAATTCTCCGCTAGAAAACAACAGAATTTTGGATCTGAATCAAACTCATTTTACTGTGACTAAAATAAAACTCAAAAGAGAAGTAACATGCCCAAGGTCACACAGTTGTTGAGTGGCAGAATGGGAATTAGAACCCAGGTCTTCTCAACTTTTAGCCCACTTTGTTCTTTGGTCCTTTGTGACTAGACAACATAGACACTTCCCCCAGATACCCAGGCCACAAGGGCACTCTCTCCCTGCATCTTGACCCACAGCCCTCCAAAAGGGGGTCCTGCCTCGACCTCTCTAAAAGGGTCAAACCATTCCAAGCCATAAGAAGATCCCAGCTATGACCACTTTAAACTGGAAATTCATTCACCTGGCCCTACAAGTTACTGAGTCCCTCCCAAGTGAGAGTGCTGAATATGCTTCATACACCCACACACAGTCCAGCAGACAGTGAGTGAGAACACTCTTTTTCCACCCCCACTGAGAAGGGAGGGAGTGGGCACTGGGCCAGGTCTGGGCAAGAAGAAGCCGGAAGTAAGGAAGAGCTGGTCAGACAGGTAGGGCAGCTGTGTGGGTAGAAAGAAAACGAGAGAGGCTATAGTCTGGAACTCCAAAGGACAGTTAACTGCTTCTCCCATATTGTAATCTACAGAGGTCCCTGCAGAGAAAGACCCAAAGTCCTGCTCTTTGCCAGCCCCCATCTGAGAGTTCAGAGACAAATACCTGCATTTGATTCACCACAGTTTCTCTCTCTCTCTCTCTCTCTCTCTCTCTCTCTCCAGGGTCTTATCGGTGGATTGAGTGGGGAGGACAGGAAAACCACATAATTAGAACATGAGGAACCCCAGTGAAGGCCTGATCCTGGGGTTCTTTCAAATGTCTTTGCCCCCTTAGCCAGGGAATGAGGCCTACCGATCTAGACAGGGGACTGGTAGCCTCCAGAGAGAAGCAGAACTAAAACATGTTTATTTGCATATGCTTATTTGCACATTGTGTCTCATTTACATGTAGTTTCATTAAAGGTTATAATGTTACCCCTCCCCAGTCCCTCAACCAAATTTTCTTTCAGTGTCCCTCACCCTCTTTTCCCCTAATACCCCATTGCCCTTCTTCCATCTTACCCCAGATGTAGCTGTAGGAGCAGATAAGAGCCCCGAAGAAGGGGAAGTGACCTTGGTTTCAGAGTCTGGATTTGAACCTGGGTCATAAAGATCATCATAAAATCATAGATTTTCAGCTGGAAGAGACATCAAGGCAATCTAGTCCAAACCCTTCATTCTACAGATGAGGAAACTGAGGCTCACAAGGGTGAAGTCATCCAGGTAGAGGTGGCAAAGCCTATGTTTAAACCTAGGTCACAAATGAGATCATCATAGGAGCTAGAAGGGACTTGGGAGAAGAAGGGATAATAATTTATATAGTGCTTAGGGGCAGCTAGGTGGTACACTGGATAGAGCATCAGCCCTGGAGTCAGGACAACCTGAGTTCAAATCTGACCTCAGACACTTGACGCTTGCTAGCTGTGTGACACTGGGCAAGTCATTTAACCCCGACTGCCTAAGCAAAAAAAAAATAATAATAATAATTCATATAGTGCTTACTATATGCCAGGCTCCGTGCTAAATGCTTTTTGCAACTATCATCTCATTTGATCTTCATGACAAGGTAATTCCTATTGTTATCCCCACCTTATATCTAGGAAAATGAGGCAAACAGAGGTTAGGTGACTTACTGATCACACAGCTAGTCAGAGTCTCAGGTTGCATTTGAACTCAGGTCTTCCTGACTCCAGGCTCAGTACTCTATCTTCAGAGCCTCTTAGAGCTGCCTCTTAAAAATGATCTAGGCCAACCCCCTCATTTTACAGATGAGGAAACTGAGGCCCACAGAAATAAAGACACTTGAAACAAGGTTGTACAGGTGGCTCTTAGATTCCCTGACTCCATACTGCACCACCCACAAGGCTGCATTTGGTTTCTCTGGCAGAGTTCCCCTGGCTTGAATGGGAAGAAGGCCCTATATGAAAGGCCCTGGGGAAGAGGATTGTGGAGAAACAGGACAGCCCCCAGTAGGGACTCAGAAGGAGAGAAGAGACAGGGGACAGGAAAATGGGGAGGGTCAGACAGGTACATAGTTCCTTTTAAGGTTCTCTATCAGTCTCTGTGGGCTGGGCTGGGCAGGCTAAGTCTGAGAAGGGCAGCAGAACAAAAGGGAAAATACTATGAAATGATTGGCTACATAAGAGGACTTCCCTGATTGTTGTCCAGAATCAGAGAAGAACCTTTTTTTTCCCAGGGAGCTTGAAAAATGCTGGGGGGAGGGGGAGGTGTCAACATGATAGGCCCAGCCCCGAAGCCAGGAAGCTCTGGAACACCTCAGAAACATTGCTCAAGGCATATGGGTGACAATGATGGCATGTAAAGTCCTTGACAATCTGTATCCAGACTAGCCTTTCAGACTTATTACATTACTTGCATTCCATTCCCCAGTTCTATGACTCTCTCCCATGCCTGGAATTCTGTTCCTCCATGACACTATCTCCTTGTCCGTGCCTTGGCACTGGCCATCTGTCTCCCATACCTGCAATGTTCTCCCTCCTCTTAGACCTTTAGGAATCTCTGGTGAAATCCCACCTTCTGCAGGAGGCCTCCTCTTCTAGGATCCCCTCCCATCTTCTCTGTATATATCATATATGCATCCAGCTATTTACATAAGTAAATTACTTCCCCCTTTAGGTTGTGAGCTCCTTGGGAGCAGAGATGGTGATGATGATAACATTTATCTAGAGCTTCCTATGTGCCAGACAGTGTGCTAAATGCTTTATAATTATTATCTCATTAAATGCGGCTATTTATTATCTTCATTTTACAGATGGGGAAACTGAGGCAAACAGAGGTTTAAGGGACTTGCCTGGGGTCATACAGCTAGTAAATGAGATTATATTTGAACCTGAGTCTTCCTGACCCCAGGCCTAGCAACTCTATGTAGTCCTGTGTCTTCTGCTTTTCTATGTAACCCCATACCAATTCACAGCAAGAACTTAATAAAATGACTGTTGACTGACTGATTAGAATCCTTTACTTCCTTCAAGGCTAGCTCAATTGCCACTTTTCCTAGGAATGCTCTTCCTGATCCTTGTAGTTATTAGTTCTTTTCAACCATGGTAGTTTTTTTTTAATTTAATTTTTAATTTAATTTTTAATCCTTATAATATATAAGGAACTATCAGTTAGAACACCCTCTAACAATGCAGATTGGCACCAAAGGTACTGAAAAATTGAATGACTTTCCCAAGGTCACACAGTCAGTATGTGTCCAAGGCAGAACTTCAACCCAGGGCTTCCTTCCTCAGAGGCCAGTTCTACTCAAAATGGCTCCACCACACTGCCTCTTCTCAAATTGGCAGCGCATAATACTAAAATTGGAACAATACGGAGATTAGCACGGCCCCTAAGAAAGAATGACAAGTAAATTCACAAAGCATTCCATATTTTTGTTCTGACCACTGACCTTGGCTTTCTTTAAGTCCCAACTAAAATCTCACCTTCTACAGGAAGTTCCTTCCCCAACCCCTCTTAATTCTAGTGCCTTCCTTCAGTTAATTATTTCCTATTTATCCTGTATATAGTTTACTTTGTATATATTTGTTTGTATATTATCTCAAGGAGATTTAAAACTCCTTGAGGGCAGGGATTGTCTTTTGCTTCTTTTTGTATGCTTAGCACTTAGCACAATGCCAGAAGATTAATGTTTATTAATTATTTAATTATCTATGTAAATGAGACCAGTATTGTCAGCTCTTTGAGGATTTTTGACTAGTTTTCCTTTAGCTCTTTTATCAGGATCTTAATAAGCACTCATTGAATTGAATCTAACGTTGATGATAATGAGAGCTTTTATTCTACATTTCTGTGGGGCTAGCCAGAGGAAGGATTTGAATTCCCAGAGCCTAGCGCAGTGCCTGGCACAGCAAGCTTTTAATAAATACTTGTTGATTGAAAAAAAGGCCGGCAGGACAAACACACACATGAGTCAAATATATCTGTGAGATTATGTACAAGCAAAGGGCTGGGGGGGAGGAGGAGAAATGGAAATGGGAGACTGGAACAGGAGTCATATTTAACTGAGGAAGAAATATCAAGGGAATTCTCATTAAGATCACCATTTTATCAGTCATTCAGGAAAGCCTTCCTACAGAAGGAGGTTCTGCAGTCTGGATGATCCCATGTTCCTTGTGTCAAACCAGGACCCCATCCCCTGTCCCTATACACCCAATTAAAGTCCCTCTGGCCTTCTTTATCCCCCTTCCACCTCTGAACCTGTCCCATCTTGCATTACATACCTGGAATACTGTCTTCCTCTACCTCTTTAGTACTCTCCTCAGTCCCAGATGTAGACACTGGACTACAGAGGCAAGAGACCTGAGTTCAGTTGCCTGTTCTACCACAAACAAGTTACCTCAGTTTCCCTTTTTGTAAAATGAGTTGATCTAGCTACTTCCTGAGTGATCTTGGGCAAGGCATAGAATTATAGAACCTCAGAATTGAAAGAGCTCTCAGAGTTCATCTGTGCTAATCTACTTTTGACCAGGAGCACCCTCTACAGCATTCACTAAGTACTGAGTGCCTCTCATCCAAAAGGCATCAAGCTGGAAGACAAAGACAAAAATGTCACAGGCCTTTTAGGAGCTTACAGTCAAATGGAGGTTGTGATCTGTACATAACAGAAGGATGCTATGAGGTAGAAAAGGTACTCTAGGAAGGTCTGAGGAGGAAGAGAACACTTTCACTCAGGAGGATTAGGGTAGGCTTTTTGGAGGAAGTAACTTCCCAGAGAAGCCTTAAAGAAAAATTGGGATTTTAACAGGTGGAGATAAGGCCAGAGTGCTTTCCAGAAATGGGGAGTGACTTATACAAACATAAAAACATAAGAGATACCAAGTCCGGATTTAGGTATACTAATTAATAGGTCAGTTTGTCTGAAAAGGAAAACATGCAAAGGCAAGTAACATGAAACCAGACTGGAAAGGTAGATTGGAGCCAGACTGTAGAGGTACATACATACATACACACATATATACATACATACATATACACACATACATATATGTGTGTATGTATGTATATGTATATACAATTTTCCATTTATATGTAAAAAAAAAATTTTAACATTCTTTTTTTAAAATTTTGAGTTCCAAATTCCCTCCTTCCCTTCCTCTTCTCCCCCCTCCCTGAAAAGGCAAGCAATTTGATATAGGTTATACATGAGCAATCAGGCAAAACACATTTCTATATTAGCCGCGTTGCAAAAGAAAACACAGACCTCCCCCCCCCCCCCAAAAGAAAAAGAAACAAAGTTTTAAAAAGTATACTTAAATCTGCATTTAGACTCCATCAGTTCTTTCTCTGGAAGTGGAAAGCATTTTTCATTTCATAAGTCCTTTGAAATTATCTTGGGTCACTCTATTGTTGAGGATAGCTAAATCATTCACAGTTGATTATCATTACAATATTGCTGTTACTGTGTACAATGCTCTCCTGGTTCTGCTCACTTCACTTTTCATCAGTTCATGTAAGTTTTCCCAGGTTTTTTCTGAAGTCTGCCTGCTCATCATCTCTTATAATACAATAGTATTTCATCACAATCACATACCACAACTTGTTCAGCCATTCCCCAACTGATGGGCATCCCCTCAATTTCTAATTCTTTGCCACACAAAAAGAGCATAGAGGACTTTAAGCGCCAGGTCTAAGCATTTGTACTTTATTCTACACACTGTGGAAAGCCACTAAATGATTTTTAGCAAGGTTGTGAAATATTCACTGACAAATGGCTAGACAGCCATTACAGACCTCCAGTGATAGGGAACTCATTACCCACTGAAGCAACCCATTCCACTTCAGGACAACTCTAATTATTAGAAAAAAAATTTCCTTATATCAAACCTAAATCTGCTTCTCTGAAAACTCCATCTATAATTTTAGTTCTGCCTGGATCAGCAGCACATAAGAAACCAAAAATTGAACCAAATAAAAATTAAACTGTTTGATAAGCTCAAGATTACTAAAATTTATTTCAACTCTCTGAGCCTCAGTTTCTTTACCTACAAAATGAGATTATTTGATTAGATTATCTCTAAGGTCTCTCTTAAATCTAGGTGGCTCAGTGCAGATGTGTCAAGCTGGTGGCCAGTCCAGATTAAAATATAATTGGAGGGGCAGCTAGGTGGTACAGTGGATAGAGCACCAGCCCTGGAGTCAGGAGGATCTGAGTTCAAATTCGGCCTCAGACACTTGACACTTACTAGCTATGTGACCCTGGGCAAGTCACTCAATCCCATTGCCTAGCCACCCCCCCAAAAAAAAATATATATATATACATATATGTTTGGAAAATGTTTAGCAAAATGAACAAAAATACAATCCAACAGACATCATTTTAATTTGTAGTTTTCTAAGTCAGTGTGTGCCTTCAGAAGATCCATTTCTATTTGAGTCACATACCTGGTTCAGGGAAGAATATGCTACACCTAGAGTCAGGAAGACTTGAGTTCAAATCTAGCCTAAGACACATATTTGCTATGTGACCCTGGGCAAGGGACTTAACCTCTGCTTGCCTCAATTTCCTCATTTCTAGAATGAGAATAATAATAGCACCTATGTCTCAGGGTTGTTGTGAGGATAAAATGAGATAATATTTGTAAAGTACTTTGTAAATCTCAAAGCACTGTGTAAAAGCTATCATTATTGCTATTGTTGTTATTTTGATTTTATAACCTGTTGTTCGTCATTAGGAACTCATAGCAGATGTCCTTTGATTAGGTAATGGCTAAAAAACAATTGTACATTTTTGTAATGGAGTCTCTCTACAAGAAACAACAAATACGAAGAATTCAGAGAAACCTAGGAAGGCCGACATATAGCATCAGACAAACAATACATACAACTACAAAAGAACAAATGTATAAAAATGTACAAAATGTACAAGAGCATAAAAAGAATCTGAATGCTGGATGATTATAGTACCCAGGCTTGGCCCTGTAGAAGAGCTGAGAAAGGACACATCCCTCCCTTCATTATAGAGGTAGGGGAATATGGGTGTGAAATATCCCACATACTGTTAGACTAGTTTGATGTGTTAATTATTTTTGATGTTATTTTTTTCTTTTTCTTTTTCATTTGAACCTTTGTTGCAATGGAAAGTTCTCAGGGTAGGGAAAGTGAGGAATTTATTTGGCAATGATGCCAGGGACAATCTGCAAAAGCAGCCCAGATGCCCACTTCCCATCCCCAAAGAGTGTCACTGAAACTGTCACGTATACATTAAAGCTTCAGTCTGAATTACAAACGAATGTGATCTTTTTAATCACTGAGCAGCAGTGTATGAAAATTTTTATCAAGTTTGAAAATTGACTAGAGTAATGTAGCACATGATGGTTGGTTATATTGAATTTTAATAAGAAGCATTAATACTTTTCAAGTCTTTTATTTTTTCCAATTACATAGAAAAACAATTTTTAACATTCTTTTTTTTTAAATTTTGAGTTCCAAATTCTCCCCCACCCTTCCTCCCCTCCCACCTCATTGAGAAAGCCAGCAATTTGATATGTTACACTCGTGCAATCGTGCAAAACTTTTTTTTTTTAGGCAATTGGGGTTAAGTGACTTGCCCAGGGTCACACAGCTAGTAAGTTACAAGTGTTTTGTCTGAGGCCAGATTTTGAACTCAGGTCCTCCTGACTTCAGGGCCGGTGCTCTATACACTGCACCACCTAGCTGCCCCGCAAAATGTGTTCCTATATTAGTCATGTTGTGAACAAAAACAGAGAACCCAACCCCCAAAACATATATACACACACACACTCACACACACACACACACACATATACACACACATGAAAAATAGTATGCTTTGATCTGCATTTAGACTCCACCAATTCTTTCTCTGGAGATGGATAGCATTTTTCATCATGAGTCCTTTGGAACTGTTTTAGATCATTACATTTCTGAAAACAGCTAAGTCATTCACAGTTGATCATCATACAATATTGTTGTTACTGTGTCAATTCTGCTCAATTCACTTTGTATCAGTTCAGAAATATTAATACTTTTTTTAAAAATTAAATAACTAACCTCTCAAATGTTGTTTTCATAACTTTGCAACATTTATACTTCTGAAGTAATTAATGTTTAAAAGCTGCACTAAGACTTTTGAGATACTATATTTTTGTCTTCTGTAGTGTTAAACACACAATTTCTAAAAAACTTTGGAGTTCCTTCTAAATTATTTTTTCTTATGCTAGGCCACCTCCTAACAGAGGGGTAGGTGATGGACTTGGGTACACATGGAGACATATTTTTTTGGACATGGCCAATATAGGAATTTGTTTTGATTGACTATGAATGTGGGTTACTAGGTCGTTTTTTTTTTTCCCCGTAGCTTTTTCAATGTGGAAGGGGATGGCAAGTGAGAGGAAGAGAAGCTGGAGTTTTGTT